AAAGAATAGCCTTTTATATATACAAGGATCAATAAATTATATTTTTAAATTGTATTGGTTGGTTGTTATCTTTGTACATAAAATTGTATCATTTTTGTATGTGGTTGTGGTATGCAGCTTACTTGTTCACATATTTATTGAGAGGTTATTCCTATTTAAGGTATTTTCCTAATAGGACTAGCTGCCGCCCTCATATACCCACCCCTTTCTTTTGCTCTGCTCCACTATTTTTCATGTATTTGTATTACCATGTGACTTTCTGTGTCCCAGTACACACACAAAACCACAAGAACCATGGCAGGACTCAGCTTGGGGTAATTCGAGTTTTAATGATTAACAACATCTATATTTTTTACTTTTTATTCACAATGAGTCACCTGTTTCCCCAATTTATGCTGTTTTTCTGGCCAAACATGGCAGTATCACTTATGGGTTAGCTCCTCCCCAGCTGTAAGGACAGGAATAATGAATCAAACAATTAAAAATAGTTAATAGAAGCCTCTCTCACTCTGAAGAAACCAGTAAACAGGCTGTGTTGGCAGCACTAACTGGTTTGAGTCCCTTGTTAGCACAAGAGACTCCACCATGCAGACCCGTCGATACCGGGCAGGCAAACCAAACAATTGCTCGGGGCCCCGAGCTGGCCTGGGGCCCCAAGCAGAACTGGTGCTTACTTTAAGGCTGCAGCCACCTGAGTGCTCTATAGAGAGCCTCAGGTGGCTGCAGCACTCCTCTCTCATTACCTCCCCTTCCCTGTAGCGTTGCCGAGCTCCTCTTTCTCCTGGCTGTCAGTCCAGCCGGGTACCGCACGGTACAGGAGATTCAGTTTCCTATTCCCGGCCGGACTGACAGGAAGTGCACACTGAGTGTTCACTTCCTTTCAGTCCGGCCGAGAACAGGAAACTGAATCTCCTGTTACCGCACGGTACCTGGCCGGACTGACAGCCAGGAGGAAGAGGAGCTCGGCCACGCTACAGGGAAAGGGAGGTGAGAACTGAGAACATGGGGGAGAGTAAAAATAACATAGGGGAGTAAAAAAAACATGGGAGGGGGAGAGGGGAGTAAAAAAACCATAGGGAGGGGAGGAGGGGAGTAAGAAGGACACAGGGAGGTGGGAGTAAGAAGGAAACGGGGGGAGTAAGAAGGACACAGGGAGGGGAGAGGGGAGTAAGAAGGACACTGGGGAGCAGTTTTAGATAAGTTGCATGTTTGTGAGAACTGAAAATTTTTAATGTGTGTGTGTGTGTGTTTTAAGTATGTTGGATTTAGTTATTGTGCACTTTTTTAATGTATATTTGATTTTAAGGTACAGTGGTGTTTTTTGCAAATGTTCAATTGTTGAAAATGTTAAAATTTTATGCACATTATATGCAACAGAAGTATTTGCACTGTAAATTTTTTTATTTATATAAAGTGTGGGTGAACTTAAACTGTATGGCTATGCTGTATGCTGTGGTTCCTGTAGGCTTTGTGTGCATTTGGGGGGGGGCTCCATGTCCATTTTGCTTGGGGGCCCCAAATTCCTTCAAACGGCCCTGCCACCATGGGAATAATGTCTCATAAAATACCAGTTTAAGCAGGAGGGCAAAAATAGCCTTCTCTCCCCCTTTTTTTCCTAAGGAGTGTGGGAAACCATCAACTTACCTTTGGTTGCCGCATTCTTGGTCACATTTTAAGTGAGTTAGGAGCCCCTACAGCCTGGCTGTGCTCTGATTTCAGGTCCCCAGAATCCAAGATGGCGGCTGCAACTTCAAAATACCTTATTTAAGCGTTCTTCAATTTTGTGCATGCGCAGTTCGACGGACGCGCTAAAACCATAATGAGCATGTGCAGCATAGTACTTTTACCGTACTTTAATTGTTGCAAAAACTCTAAGTTCAAATTCCTATACCTTCTTTCAGTGTTACATTTGTATTATTTTTTTCTCTTCTTTCTAAATTTATAGATTATTGTAAAATAGTTCATTATATATAAGTTCTAATGGAAATTATATGAACTGTTTTTTGTTTTGTTTTTTAAAGATGGCTTCTTCTCCCATCTCCCTTAGGAGCGAATCTAGAAGAAAAAGGTGAGTCTTGTTTCAGGGGGATACAAAAAAGTGCATTGACTGCTGTAGCGGAGAGCTGCTCTTACACAGCTTATCTCCACTTTAGATTCCAGTAAGGCTCAGGAACAAGTATTATAAATCCAGAAGGTAATATTTCCAGCAGGCAAAACACTCCAACAATATCCCAACCTCAATCCAAATGACTGGATGACACACAGCATCAGGAGCAGAACTGAACTTTTAATCACACAGATTCCTTATAAAGGCTTCTCCCATGCAAGGGAGGGATTTACAATAATTGGGACAGTAGCCAATAGTACAGTAGTTACCTCCCATACATCTCCTCCCCTCAGTGTGACACTTAATCCACTTATCTCTGTTACAGTTTTACCCGGTTTCTGTATGTACCCTAAAACTGTGAGGTACAATGGTCTAAGTGGTACCCTCTGGTAGCCCTAATCTGGGTGGCTAAGATACTCAAAATTCACCCAGATCGGACCAGGGGTTCGGGAGTTATGTGGGAGAAACAATTTGACCGACCGCACACGAGGTTGTAGCCGAAAAGGGTTCCATGTATTTTGGTCTCCGTTCGGGAGATGAAACATACATAAACCTTTGCCATCCACTATTAAAAACGTGTTAGTATGAATCCCCTTGTTCGGTACATTGAATTCACCGAACTAGGGGCTAATTGGCCCCTCCGTTAGGGAGTTATGGAGCTCTGGAGGTCTCAGCGGTGTTCGGGTAATCGAGTGTCAGATTTGATTTCCAGACACTCAACGACCAAACACCACTGAGATTTTGTGCGTAAGATGGCCGCTGCCATGTGTTCGCTTACCGAATGGCGGCCACCCAGATACAGCAATAAAGTACCGATTGACTTGCGGTTAGAGAAGTGTGAAAGCCTAATAAGGTACACACTTCTCTCTGGGGTGGTCTACGGGTTCGGTAGTTTTCATTCATATGGAATACGGATGAAAACTACCGAACAAACATACGAATCCTACATACAATTTTAATCATACAGGAAAATAAACACACAAATTGTCTTTTAAACATAACCCTTGAGGACAGTCGAGTGCCATCCGCTACAACTGTCTAAAAGTTCTAACATATGGCCCTGTTATTTCAGCCCTAGAAACTCTCACAAATCCTCTCCAAGGAAAAAGAGACAAAAAACTAATTGTAATGGACCGTTTTGCACACAAGGGGTAAAAACAGTTTAGGCGATCGTCCCCCTTTCCAGAGATGCAGGCACAGCTATTGTAAAACACCAAACACACAAACCGCCAATAAGTGAATGCTCCAAACTCCTGAACGGCATCCAATATAGCACTCCAAACAAACGAACAGGAACCATACGAATCGCTGCTAGCAGACGAATAGGAAAAGCATCCAAGCGGCTTACACTCCTAGCAATCAGTCTCTATCAGCATTCAGTAAATCCCCCCAAAGACGAGACAAGGCTCCGTGTTGAGGGTCAAGCAGTTTAATGAGGGCTACCTGCCCAGTATTTATGCAAGTCTCCCACCTGGTGGACACTCCCCTAGGGGACCAAATGGGAGACTGTGACAAAAGACAGACAAGTAGACAAATAGGACACACAGTCACATTATATTCCCACAATGCATCCTGGCCTCCTCCCCTCTGCCTTGGAGATAATTGAGAAGTAACAAAGGCAAATCGCCATTATGAACATGGGGATACTAAAACATGAATTAATGTTAAAATACACCATGTAGGACATGTTACATTAAAACTATACATTTAACATATCCCCAGATAGCTCAGGTCTGAACGCACATTATTAAGCGAATGGCGCTCAGACTACATGAATACAGTTCAATCGCCATGTAGCCAAAGTCTTTACACAGTCCTAGCAATCATGCGAATGGGCTCCATGGGATTCCTATCTGGGGTATAACATAGACAAGTAAAACTACCGAACACCGGCCGTTCGTGTACTTCCACCGAACAAGAAGGGAGGTCGGTGGCTTCAGCGGTGTTCGCGCAAAACTGTGTCCGATTTTAGTTTCATGAATTAAGCGTTGAACACCGCTGTGCATTCGCATGTTTAAAATGGCCACAACCTCGTGTTCGTTATATGAATGGCGGCCACCCAGTATTCGCCAATTAAGCTGCGGTTAACCGCAGCTTCAGGGAGGTTAATTGCCGGCATACTCCAGCTCCCAGGTGGTCTATTCATTCGTGTGATTGTTCGGTAGATTGAATCTACCGAACACCCGGCAGAAAAGCACAAATAAAGCTTTTCTGCAGGCGAAACAAAGTCTTTTAACATGGGGGCCATAGTCCAAAGGCAGCAGGCGAGCAACCAGGCTTCTCCAATGCAATGTGGCGAGATTGCTCTTGTCACACTAATCACCTCATGGGTTGTAGTTCTAAGGCCCAAGAGGGGAAGAATTTATGTTTCTAGTGTATGGAAGATGTGGCTGAGAAACAGACAATCACATAGAAGCTCACCCCAAACAGATGTAAATAAAATGGATTACTGATGCCATTGCTGAAGATTTTCAATCTGTATCCAGAGAGGCAACCAAAAGGTACAGAGAAGCTTCTGTCTCTTCAGTATCCAGTATGGGACAACATGAACTGGATTTGGAAGAGGATGTATGAAGCCTGGAATAAATCATCAGACTCCAGGAAAGTGAATACGTTAATAGAGTTAGTGAGAAGCACTACCATTAGAGAATTCATTTATTTGGATTGGTGAAAGCAGAAAAACGACTCTCTCTTCAGACCAAAGTGTATCCATTCCCCCCTGAAGAAGCTAAAGACTGGGAAACAATTCCTAAAACTGATGGTGCAGTGATTTGGCTGACGAAGAAAACAATGCTCTCTGTAGACTGCATGGCTTATTTAAAAGAGCCATGGAGAAAAGGATAAATTCTAACCTAGTTAAACTCTATCTTGCCATTGGATTGGGATTACATCCAGCAACAGCACTCATAGCTACAGATATAAGTGTAAAAGTCTGGATTGACAACTTAGAAGAAGATATAGCCAGCAGAGTGAGCAGAGATCATCTTATAAATTCTCTGAAAGATGTTAGGCTGGCGACAGACTTTATGCTATATGCTATACAAAAGGCTGCTGATGGTAAAAAGGCTTTTCTCCCTCAATCCTACTGAAAGCCATTTAACATGACATGGAGAGACAACTGAAACAAAGAGAGGACATTTTGTGACAGCAAGTCATATAAGCCTGGAAGGGAGTACTCTAGACCCTCAAAATGGAGGTTTCAATGATCCATCTCCTCCTCCATTAGAGGATCCAGAGGAAGAGGATTCAGACAAACTCCTAAAACTTTATAAAGGCTGGATCACCCAGACCGGAATGGTAGAAAGCTGTCTAAAACTGTTCTTTCCAATCTAGGCAGAGTTCATCAAGGACAATTGGGTCCTGAGTATCATCAGAGATGGTTACAGAATATAGTTCAACTAATTCCCAAGAATGTATCAATTCCATCAATCAACAGTGTCATCTGGAATAAAACTGAAGGCAATGAAGATGTATTTACAACAACTTACAACACAAGGAGTCGGGCAACTATAGGCCAGTAAGCTTTACTTCAGTAGTGTTGAAAGTAATGGAAACAATGTTAAAGGATAAGATTCTTGAACATCTAAAATCACATTGATTTCAAGATCAGAGACAACATGGGTTTAATTCAGGGAGATCATGCCAAACTAATCTTATTGATTTTTGTTGATTGGGTAACTAAAATAATAGATCAGGGTGGTACAGTAGACATTGTTTACCTAGATTTCAGTAAGGCTTTTGACACTGTTGCACATAGAAGGCTTATTAATAAACTGCAATCTTTAAGTTTGGATTCCAATGTTGTTGAATGCGTAAGGCAGTGGCTGAGTGACAGGCAACAGAGGGTTATAGTCAATGGAGAATTATTTCCCCTAATCCAAATGTTCTCCTTGGGGGGCCCCAAATTTCAGGTCACTCCGATTGCTTACTGGTTTTAATCCCCAGTGCTATGTGGATAGATTTATCTTGGGTCCTCTTTTGGGCTGTGGTTGAACGATTCACCATGTCATGGCCCCTGTGGAAGTGCCCTGATTCATTTATGAAGCAAAGTAGTGCCCTGATTCATTTATGAAGCAAACAGTCTGTCCTCTAACATAGTGCAGACTGTTTTCTGTTTTAAAAGACCAGGAGAGAACCAGACTTGGGATATCTGTACTCCACAACTGGCCCATAGTAGTGTATCATGCAGTCCTGAAGACAGCAATTACTTTTTGTCAGGAGGGCTCATTTATGACCCCATGCAGCCCACCACACATGTACATTTCCTTGATAGATTTGCCTGAGTGCCAGCTCCATCAGCCCCTATATATTCATCACTGGATAGAGAACCTAGAGAATGTCACCACTGGGAGAACCAATAGTTTTAGTTTAGCAACTATTTTAACAAGAAAGATACATTGGCATTTAGCTCATTTTCAAGGATGTGCTGGAGAGAACATACAAAAGGTTCAGTTGCTGTATAATTTCAGATACAGTCAGGTCCATAAATATTGGGACATCAATACAATTCTAATCTTTTTGGCTCTTTACACCAACACAATGGGTTGGAAATGAAACAAACAAGATGTGCTTTAACTGCAGACTTTCAGCTTTAATTTGAGGGTATTTACATCCAAATCAGGTGAACGGTGTAGCAATTACAACACTTTGTATATGTGCCTCATACTTTGTAAGGAACCAAAAGTAATGGGACAGATTAAAAGTCCTAAATCAAATTTTCACTTTTTAATACATAGTGTCATCCCTGGTTATGCTCTGCCAGGCCTCTACTGCAACTCTCTTCAGTTCCTGCATGTTCTTGGGACATTTTCCCTTCAGTTTTGTCTTCATCAAGTGAAATGCATGCTCAATCGGATTCTGGTCAGGTGATTGACTTGGCCATTGCATAACATTCCATTTCTTTCCCTTAAAAAACTCTTTGGTTGCTTTTGCAGTATGCTTCGGGTCATTGTCCATCTGCACTGTGAAGCGCCGTCCAATGAGTTCCTCAAGCATTTGGCTGAATATGAGCAGATCATATTGCCCGAAACACTTCAGAATTCATCCTGCTGCTTTTGTCAGCAGTCACATCATCAATAAATACAAGAGAACCAGTTCCATTGGCAGCCATACATGCCCACGCCATGACACTACCACCCCCATGCTTCACTGGTGAGGTGGTATGTTTTGGATCATGAGCAGTTCCTTTCCTTCTCCATACTCTTCTTTTCCCATCACTCTGGTACAAGTTGATCTTGGTCTCATCTTTCCATAGGATGTTGTTCCAAAACTGTGAAGGCTTTTTTAGATGTTGTTTGGCAAACTCTAATCTGGCCTTCCTGTTTTTGAGGCTCACCAATGGTTTACATCATGCACACTTGAAATGAACTCTGGACCTTTTATCTGCTGCTTGTAAATGGGATAATGAGGGAATAACACACACCTGGCCATGGAACAGCTGAGCAGCCAATTGTCCCATTACTTTTGGTCCCTTGAAAAGTGGGAGGCTGTCACGGGTGGCGGTATGGAAACCAGGACGCCTAAGTGCCTGATGAGAAGTCAGAGTCTTCAGAATGGTAATGGCCTGGTGCAGGGTAACCACACGTCCTCTGGGTTGAGCACCAGCGTTTGCGTGGCCATATACCAGAACCCTGATGCAGCTACAGCGGATCCCAGGAATTAGGAGCTTGGAATTAAGCAGACCTCCCAGGAGCTGAATAGGGAGGCTCTGCAGCAGGAGTGTATCCAGTTCAGAAGCAAGGCAAGACTAGAGATAGGCACCATACATGAAAACAAGACAAAACTAGGAGAACTCAGAACCGGAATAGGACAGAAAGCAGAACCCAGAATATGTACACAAGACATGAGGAAAACAAGAACAGGGCAGGACAGGACTGTACATGAACTGGGAATACAAGACAAAATAAAACAAGACAAGAGATACAAGGTAAAACAAGAGGAGACATAACTAAGCACTATATATGAAAAGTATGGGGATTTAGTTACATTATATGATCATACATTGCATACGCCTGCCACAACGCCAATGTACCCCATATTCGGCAGGTCCTACACTGTCTAATGTTCGCTAAAAGAACCATACTGAACCACAATAGCACTTACCTGCAAGAAAGGGCAGAGACTTGAAACACTGCTGCAGGTCCATACTGAAACAAAAGGAAAATGGAAAACAAACAGGTGTGGCAACATAAAACAAACATATAAATGAATCCAGGAGACGGGGAATTCCAGGGACGGAATAATGGAATGGACCCAGAAAACCCAGCATAAGGAAAACCAAACATGGAATAGAAAACCAAAAAACCAAGAAAAACTAAACAAGAATTAAAAGAGTGCGGATGATCCGCAGAATGATCCGCAGAACAAGGCATGATGTGACAGAGGCACATATACAAACTGTTGTAATTCCTACACTGTTCACCTGATTTGGATGTAAATACCCTCAAATTAAAGCTGAAAGTCTGCAGTTAAAGCACATCTTGTTCATTTCATTTCAAATCCACTGTGGTGGCCTGGCAGAGCATCACCAGGGATGAAACCCAACGTCTGGTGATGTCTATGTGTTCCAGACTTCAGGCTGTAATTGACTGCAAAGGATTTGCAACCATGTATTAAAAAAGCGAAAGTTTGATTTATGACTGTTAATCTGTCCCATTACTTTTGGTCCCTTAAAAAGTGGGAGGCACATATACAAACTGTTGTAATTCCTACACCGTTCACCTGATTTGGATGTAAATACCTTCAAATTAAAGCTGAAAGTCTGCAGTTAAAGCACATCTTGTTCATTTCATTTCAAATCCACTGTGGTGGTGTATAGAGCCAAAAAGATTAGAATTGTATCGATGTCCGAATATTTATGGACCTGACTGTATATGGATGCAGATGTTTTCAGGGATTTTACACTGTTGACGAATGTGATATTCCCTGGTAATTCATTCCATGTATTTACATACCTCCTGACATTTCACATGGACAAACAGGGACACTTTTATTTTAGGGGTGTGAGTGAGGTAGTGGTCATGGGCAGACCTGTTCTGCGAAAATTTGAGTGACTTACTAATAATATATAAAACTAAAATGTAATTTAGAACAAAAACAATGTATCTTATTTACACAGACTCATTTCTAATCATATAGTATTTATTGTAGGTTAAAGGGACACAATAGGCACCCTGACCACTTCATCTCATTAAAGTCATCTGCATTCTGTGTCATTATGCCCTTGCAGCTACAAACATTTCTGTTTTAGAGAAATCAGAACGCAACAAGAGATGCTTCCATGCTTTTCATGGAGATTAGCTCAGTGAAATGATGCTGGATGTAGTCATGCTTTGCATCACGATGTCCAGTGTCTTTTAAAACCTCATAAGAAAGCATAGAGTCAACGCTTTCCTATAGGGAAGGCCTAATGCATGGTGCTTGCTGCACATGTGCATTAGGTCCCTCCACTGGGTGACATTAGTGTAGGAGGAACCCTACCTTACCCTACCCAAGTGGAAAAAAAGCTGTTCTTTTAGTGTTAGGAATATTTCTTCATGTTCCAAACACTTAACCTTTCCTTCAAAGACATATTACAGAGTGTATTATTGTTGTGAAGCTCTATTACACAAAAGGACACACTAGCAATATCGAGATTCTAAAAAAAGAGGGACATAAGGATGGACAAAAGGGGCCAAAATAGGAACTTTCTTTCCTAATTAGAAAAGCATAGGAAGTATGTGAAAGCAGCTGGAATGTACAAATACTAATAAATTATTATATTTCAAGATGAACGCAAAGAACTGAACAAAAGGAAGCTTTAGGAACACTCGTGAAGGGGTTAACCCATATGCCAAAGCAATGAACAAAACAAGAGTGAGTGACCTAACTACTAAAATATAACTTTTAATTGAGAATATTAAAAATTGAAAATTTATGAGAATAATTATCCAGTATTTTAAATATACGTCAATATTAATAAATATGGTTAGAGTCAATATATTACTAATTTGATTGATAACTTGTCAATCAAAAAATTGATAGTCCTATAACAAGATATATCATGTTCTTGTCAAACGAGAACTGCCCCAAATCATGTTTGTCGGCAAAAGTCAAAAAGAAAGGATTTACTTTGTTT